GCCACCATGCCCAGCTAATTTTTTGTATTTTTAGTAGAGACAGGGTTTCACCATGTTGACCAGGATGGTCTCGATCTCTTGACCTTGTGATCCACCCGCCTCGGCCTCCCAAAGTGCTGGGATTACAGGCTTGAGCCACCGCACCCGGCCAGTTATTTATTTTTTTGAGGACAGTGATGTTACATATGAGAGATGAAGCCAGGGAAGACAGTGGGAACCAGCTTGTGAAGGGCCTTGAGAACCATGTTAAGGAGCCTAAACTTTGTCCCAGGGCACTGGGGAGCCATGGAGGGCCTTTGAGCAGAGGAGTAACAGGATCAGAATTTTAGAAAGAACTTGCCCCAAGATGGGTTAGAGGTGTCTGGAGGCTGAGAGACCAGTGAGGAGGTGGGAGTGGGGGTCTAGGAGGCTGGGAGTGGCCTGTGGGCGTGGCTGGGATCCACCCGCACGGTGGGATGGGAGTGCCAGACATTAAAAAGAAGAGAAAAGGCGGGTTTGGGGTGGGTGCCGATGTGCTCAGATGATGAGGGTGGAGTTCAGGGGGCCCCAGAGAGGTCTTGGGGCAGGTGCATTGGGAGGCCCCTGAGTGAGGGAGAATAAGGGGGCGTGTGGCTATGGGGGAGAAGGGAGGAGCTGACAGTAGGGCTGGGTAGAGAGATCTGGGGCTCCTGCCTTACCAGTATCATGACCAGGGCCCAATTCTGGCTTCTTTGTGGTTGCCATCCTGGGGACACATGGAGGGAACCAATATTAGGCTAGAGACACGCAGGTGGGTGGAGAGAGACTCAGAGAAGCTAGAAATCCCACCAGGCCTCTGAAAGCCACATGGTCTCTCCTTCAGAGTGAGCTAGGATGATGAGGCCTGAACTATCCCAGGCTCTTCTTCTGTAATCCCCATCCACAATCCTTCAGTTTCCCTAGCCACCACCTTATGCCAATGAGCACTGTTCCCCAAACAGCACCATTTACAGAGATCACCTAAATGGTGCACCTCCATCCACCTGTCTTAGGATTTCCTTAATATTTCTCTTTGCATGGACTCATTTGTATACATTTATTTATTTATTTAGATGGAGTTTTGCTCTTGTCCAGGCTGGAGTGCAATGGCATGATCTCAGCTCACTGCAACCTCAGGGAAGACAGTGGGAACCAGCTTGTGAAGGGCCTTGAGAACCATGTAAAGGAGCCTAAACTTTGTCCCAAGGGCACTGGGGAGCCATGGAGGGCCTTTGAGCAGAGGAGTAACAGGATCAGAATTTAGAAAGACCTTGCCTCGGGATGGATTGGAGGTGTCTGGAGGTTCAAGGTTTCCTGTCTCGGCCTCCCAAGTAGCTGGGATTACAGGTGTGCACTACCACACCCACCTAATTTTGTATTGTTAGTAGAGATGGGGTTTCACCAAGTTGGTCAGGTTGGTCTTGAACTCCTGACCTCAAGGGATGCACCCGCCTTGTCCTCCCAAAGTGCTGGGATTACAAGTGTGAGCCACCGCGCCTGGTCTGAATACCCTTAATTTAAAAATTACACGGGAACCAAGTGAAGTGGCTCGTGCCTATACTCCCAGCACATTGGGAGGCCAAGGCAGGAGAAGGTCTTGAGGCCAGGCGTTTGAGACTGGTCTGACCCACAAAGTGACATCCCATCTCTACAAAAATTACAAAGATTAGGCAGGCGTGGTGGCGTGCACCCGGGGTCCCAGCTATTTGGGAGACTGGGGTGGGAGGATGGTTTGAATCAGGGAGGTCGAGGCTACAGTGAGCTATGTCGCACCACCGCACCCCACCCTGGGCGACAGAGCGAGACTTTGACTCTGAAAACAAAAGTACTCTTGATAACGCTACAGCAAGTTAGTTAATTTACCAAACAAGTATTTACAAGCACCAACCATGTGCTGGGTGTCACTGAAGGCACTGGGGACACAGCTGGGCACAAGACTGACAGAGACCCCTGGCCTCCTGGAGCAGATACCCTAGCGGGGAGAGAGAGGGGAAGAAGGTTGTAATACAGCATTGACGGCAGGTTATCAGGGAGGGACATCCCTTCCCTATGAAGGAAAATGGAGAGCGGGGAGAGAGTGGAAGGTGTGTGTGTGCAGTTTTGAGTACAAAAAATAATAATCGGCCAGGCGCGGTGCTCACACCTGTAATCCCAGAACTTTGAGGGGCCGAGGCCGGCAGATTACCTGAGCTCAAGAGTTTGAGACCACCTAGAGCAACATGGTGAAACCCCATCTCTACTAAAACACAAAAATTAGCTGGGCGTGGTGGTGCACGCCTGTAGTCCCAGCTACCTGGGAGGCTGAGGTGAAAGAATCACCTGAGCCTGGGGAGGTCCAGGCTGCAGTGAGCCATGATTGGGCCACTGCACTCCAGCCTTGGTGACACAGCAAGACCCTGTCTAAAATTATTTGTTTTTGATAAGTCAGTTTAAGAGGAGGTTTTCTGTCCCTTGCAATGCAGAATTCTGTTTGATACAGGATAGAAAGATGCTTTTCACCCCAGGAGTTTCAAGATTTGATGAGATTGTGTATGAGCCAGATGATGTGACTTGTGGAAGAATCCATGGGGCTTCAGAAGACAGTGGGAGGAGACAGGGGAGGGACGCCTGGGGACCGTGTACCTGTGGCTCTGGCCCTTCCAGTTCCTTGTCACCAGAAGATAGGCAATGCAGCTGATGAGAAGGGCCCCAGCAGTAAGAGATCCAATGATGGTGGCCGCCAGGATCCCCGCATTGGTGGGCAGGTGTGTACTGGGCAGCTCTTTATTCCTCTCTAAGGGGTGAGAGAAAAAGAGAGAGGGGGACTGTGCGATGTCTCCTGAGGGCTCCCCCACCCCTCACCGACTGCATCAGTGACTGCATGGAGCACTGATGTACAGTTTCCAATTTCCAGCCCAGAGCTTTCTTGGGCTTTTCAGATCCAAGTATCCAACCATCTGGGTGGCACATAAAATTCAACATGTCCCAGTGGGCCGACGCGGTGCTCACACCTGCAATCCCAGCAATTTGGGAGGCTGAGGTGAGAGGATCACTTGAGCCCAGGAGTTTGAGACCAGCCTGGGCAACATAGTGAGACCCCATCTTTATTAAAAAAAATTTTTGGGCCGAGTGCAGTGGCTCACGCCTGTAATCCCAGCACTTTGGGAGGCCAAGGCAGGCAGATCATGAGGTCAGGAGTTCAAGACCAGCCTGGCCAAGATGGTGAAACCCGTCTCAACTAAAAGTACAAAAATTAGCCCAGCGTGGTGGCCCGCACCTGTAATCCCAGCCACAGGCAGGAGACTTGCTTGAACCTGTGAGGCGGAGGTGCAGTGAGCTGTGATCGAGCCACTGCACTCTAGCCTGGGTGACAAAGTGAGACTCTATCTCAAAAAAAAAAAAAAAAAAAATTTCGGTGGGTGCGGCGGCTCACACCTGTAACCCCAGCACTGTGGGAGGCCAAGGCAGGCAAATCACCTGAAATCAGGAGTTCGAGACCAGCCTGACCAACATAGTGAAGCCCTGTCTCTACTAAAAATACAAAAATTAGCCAGGCATGGTGGCGTGCACCTGTAA